ATTAACTTATTCTTAGAAATTATTTTAATGAAAATTCATAATAAAGTTAATTCTAATCTTCATCTATTAGCCATTTCTATTCCAACAGCGGATGATTCTATGATGAAAACAATACAAAATTTTATCGATTTGCAAGGCCTTCTTTTTAATTATACAATTAAACGTACAAATGATACTATTTTCCTACGGATGAAATCATTTTAACTCATTTTCTTTTTATTATAAATAAAATCTAGATCTCATCTTTAAAATTGTCATCATTTATGAGATTATTTATTACTGTAAGTAAAAATCTTGGAGATATAAATGTGATTGTTTATGAGGGTGTGGGTGTGGGTATGATATGAGAAGAATGATACAATCTATCTACACCCACATCACACCCTTATTGTCAAAACATACAGCTGATTTTAAGAAGCGTTACAGTACAAGAATAAAACTTTAAATAGAATGAAATAGAACGCGAATTAAAGATTTAACATCAGAAAAAAAGTTGTTAGCGCACCTTCTGGTAGAATTAAAATGTAAAACACGATCTTACTGTGTTTCTGTCATCAAGATTATAGTTTAATTGTATCATTATGAAGCGATTTTTATCGCATCCTGTGGCATATAGGTATCGAAAAATCAGAACGAAATAATTTACATATGTTGAAGTCACTTGATTGGTATTTTAATAATTTAATTTGATGAAGAATTTATTGATGAATAATGATGACGAATATTTACCCTTTATATTATACTAAATATCACTAAAATAATATTCCCATTATTCCAAATAACATCTTTTTTCAAACTTGTTCCCTTTGACTGAACTTATGTAATAATTTGTTTCATTAGAATTGATTGAATATAATTTCGATAGAACAACATGTGCTAACACATAATATAATATATCATATTAAATAATTTGGTATAATTAATAAACATACTAATGTTATTATATAAGAATATTTAACAACTATTTGTTCAGATTTTAACGTTATTGTATAATACATCTAAAAGAAAGTTATTTTCAATTTAATTTTTATTTTTAAATAAATCAAAATTTACAATAGGAAGAAGACAAGTTAACTATAATACAATAAAAATAGTATTTCAATGAAATATTACAAAATCTATTCAAATCTGTCATTCATCAACAAATGAATTTGGATCATGAATTATGTAAAAATATAATGAAATTATTCTATCAAATAATGCAACATTTGGATGTGAGTGCCCATTGTTCATTTGTATCCACAGACATCCTCAAATTTTATTAATATGTTTTTTACTCTGTCCAAGAATAATGTTTTTCAAAAAGTAATGAAAAAAGTATGAATATAATAGCTAAATGTTTTATTTATATTCATAGAAACGTATACAATGAATGAATTCTTATAAAAAAATGATCAAGTAAACATGAGTCTGTTCCAGAGATGCTTTATTTTATTTTGATTAATCAAAACAAAATCACATACCTGATAATGTTTTAAACTTCGATCGAAGAAATGTTATGATTTTAGATGCGATGAAGGAACAAAAGAAAAGAGTATTTGATGAGAATGAAAATTATAAGCATATGAGAGTTTTTTTCTATAAAAATCGTTGACAAAATAAACATTTCAATACATTTCAATGAATAAAGAATGCAAAATAAGAGGAATCTGTTTTTGCTTCCAAGGACATGAACAATTGTTGAGAGAAACAGTTTTATTCTCTTTCAACTAAAAGAGTAATGTGGGAAGTAAAGGAAAAAAAAAGAGTAAAGAAAAATCACTCATTGTTGTGCATACTTTAGTTTTTCATTCATCACACAAAAAACAATGCGATCTATCGTTGTTTTGTTTTTCATTATATCCGTTTCATCTGTACAAGGTTTGTTAGATTATCTTTTTCTCTCTCACTCTATCACAATATAAACGGATTTTATAGGACAAACTACACAACTACCTAATTATTCATGTAGTGAAAATAATGCTTCTATTCAATTTACATTATCTTCATCATCTCATTCAGCTTTGAATTCAGCATCAAATTGTTCTTTACAACAATGTAATACAAGCTTAAATGGTAATAATAATTGTCGTTCATCATCGACACCTTGTTTTGATTATCGAACAATAAATAATATAAGTTATTGTGCACCTGGTATTTTATGTTCAATATTAGAAACATGTAATAATATCACACAAACATGTTTATCAAATAATTCAGTATGTGTTATTAATTCATGTTGTTCATCGCAAGCTGTATGTTTACCATTCTTAGCAACACAAATGTGTGAAAGAGGTACGTCTAATATACATATTATTTACATTTCAGACTTCATCACACACAACTAGAACAATTCATTTTATTCATAGTTATAGATCAAGTATTATATTCATTCATATATAATCTCTGTCGGTTGATACTTTTGTTACAGTAGAAACAAATGTAATAGATAGAATTATATAGATTTGTGGTATCCATTGTTAATTAACATGAGAAACGAAAAAGAGATGAGGAATTGAACTATATTGAAGTGTCCAATTTAGTTATTACATAATATATTAATACAATCTCATATATCATTTTGTTGGTAGAATAAGAGAATATAGTTTCATAATAATGCAATGTTTTCGTTTTTGTGTTTACAGTTGTTGCATTAAATAACAAGATAATATAAATGAATAGATTGAAGTATAAAAATCGTTACGATAGATCATCTCAAGTGAATTGATGTTTTGCTTGATTAATTCATATTCGTATTTATTTCTACTTTTTCTATTACTGTTTTTGTCTTAGTGATATTAATTTATAGTTATGTTAGATATGATTTAAGCGATAATGTTGATTATCATTGTTTTGATTGTGATATCCAGAGAACTATGAAAGAGTTGATGCAAAGTTCATACTGTTCATTCTATTAAATATCTTTGGAGCATAGCTTGTAAAATTTATAGAAAATCAAAAAACATATCAGTCAGCAGAATTATCATAGTAGTCAATTTGAAATAAACATTTTTTATATATTTGATTGAGATAATAGAAGAAATAGAAAATATAGAAAACTGAAGTTAGCATAATGATATGCTAAGAGATCTTGTGCAATACATTTCATTACCATTCTCGGTTTATATAATTTTGAGGTGATGTAAAATAGAAATATCAAAGACTGTCGTTTATAGAATAATGAAAAATACAGCGCACAAGAATAATGAATGTTGAGTGTTGGACGATCTAATATTGTATTGTCTAAATATATAAAAATGCAACTTCTAGGATGGTTTTCTACTGCCAATATGACCAATGCACGAGAGTATCACACAGCATCTGTATTAACAGATGGAAAAGTACTAGTTACAGGTGGATTAGGCATTGGTTTTATTTTCTTAAATAGTGCTGAGCTGTATGATCCATCAACAGGTATTTGGACAGTTACCGGTAACATGACTAATGCACGATATTATCACACAGCATCTTTATTATCAGATGGAAAAGTATTACTTGCTGGTGGTGCAGACATTAGTCCTTTAAATAGTGCTGAATTGTATGATTCATCAACAGGTACTTGGACAACCACTTTGAATATGACTGGTGCAAGGTATTCTCATACAGCATCTGTATTAACAAATGGAAAAGTATTAGTTACTGGTGGATACAATGGTAATGTTGGCTTTTTTAATAGTGCTCAATTGTATGATCCATCAACGGGTACTTGGACAGCTACTGGTAACATGAATAATGCACGAGTTTCTCACACAGCATCTATATTACCAAATGGAAAAGTATTAGTTAGTGGTGGTGCAGACAGTAGTCATATTGCTTTAAACAGTGCGGAATTGTATGATCCATCAACAGGCACTTGGGCAACTACTGGTAACATGAATAATGCACGACGTTATCACACAGGATCTGTATTATCAAATGGAAAAGTATTAGTTACTGGTGGATACAATGGTGTTAGTGTTTTAAACAGTGCTGAATTGTATGATCCATCAACAGGCACTTGGACAACTACTAGTAACATGAATAATGCACGAGATTGGCACACAGTATCTGTATTATCAAATGGACAAGTATTAGTTGCAGGTGGATACAACGGTAATAGTGCTGAGCTGTATGATCCATCAACAAGTACCTGGACAAATACTAATAACATGACGAATGTACGAGCATATCACACAGCATCTATATTAACAAGTGGATTAGTATTCGTTACTGGTGGATCTGATAATAATACTGGATATTTAAATAGTGCTGAATTATATTAACTATTTGGAACAAATTAACTTTCAGCTATCTTACTCTTTTTCTTACAAGTAATTCAAATTTCAAACAATATTTTAATTGGAAGAATTTTCATTTTATGACATCCGCTAACTATTTTCTTCCATATTTTTACTGAATTGTTGTTTCCTTTAGTATTCGATCCCAAATAAATAAAATATCTTTGTTTTTCTACCCTTATAGATTAGTTTATCATGATTAACAAAAGTTACAACTGATGCGATAATTCAGATTATCCTTTCAAATGTTCTCTTCATTGTGCAGTGCAGTTACTCATGATATTTAATTGTTTTGATAGTATTCATCGAATTTGAAATAAATCATCATTTAAACATTTCATTTACAAAAAGACTTTGAGGTAAGTTCATGAATGACATCAATGAATATATCTGTAAATACCAACAACAGATAATCTAAAAGACAATCTGTATCATATTAGATATAGGACCTAATGAGAGTGAGGATATAAATATTTATAAGTCAACCAAAATATTGGCATCCAATTTCCCTTATCTCAACGACAGAGAATAGATAATAATATGGTTTCTACATAATATTTCTTTGTTAGTAATTATCCCATTGTGAGTCTTAAATTAATTAATTCAAGCCACTGCAGAATAATAGAATTAATTAATGTAGAATATCTAGTGAGAAGTTCTGTCGAAATATCAAGACAAAACTATACACACAGCTACTTTTTCTGTGTCATATTGATTTATTCCACAAAGTATGAAATTGTTCAACTTTCGCTTAAGATCATAATCTGGATCTTTCTCAGTTATAATATCTTATTATTCATATCCATGCTAGCAAAGATATTTTTCATATTTTATTGTTTGTGAATAGTTCATCTCATTTCATTATCAAATAGTTTAGAGAAATAAATAATAGATTTGTGGTAGATTTAATAAAATACCTGTTTTATTTGTAATATAATTGAGTGTTATTATATTCTCCTATAGTATCATTTTCACAAATATGAAATAAATCTTATGTCGTTTATAGTTTTATTATTCACATACAAACTTTTACAATGAGTATATGCGATTATTAGTCTATTCCATTCAAACAGCTGTCGATGTGTATGATACAAAATCTCTGAAGAAGTGTTTCAAACAACATTTAGATCTAGACGAAAAGATTTCTTAAACTCAGCTACATATAGTCCTCAAACGCTTGATTCTTGTGATTTTTGGTAAAGTATCTGTTGTTAATGTTAAAATAATCGAAGATATTCATCACTACCAGTATGAACACCTGTGAAATCGATAAACAATGGCTAAGATAGTAATATTTTGTCTGTTAAGAATATTTGATTGATTAAAAATCATACTTCATTCAAAGAGAAAAAGAAATTCAATTTCATTCATAACCACAAAACAAAATATTAAACTTCATATATAGCAACTATTTCAGATATATATTTAAATATGTACATTTGTATATTGACCTTTATAATTAAGTATCACTAATGATCGTGGTTCAATATTACCTACTTCACAATCAACACCTAAAAAATATATATAACTTATATTTACATTCTAGTATTAACTTACATGTAATCTTATCAACTGTTAAAAACCAAGTTTTCTTCTGATACGACATTACAAACTATATTATCATTTAGAAAAATATTTTATTCACTATCATCAGACAATCCTAACTTACTTCATGTCCTTCTCGATAAGTAAATCTACCATCATATACACGTAAAAATCTTAGTCCTAAATCAAACATTGTTATTGCTTCTCTTCGTTTAATAATATCAATGATTTTTTCAAATGTTTTTTTTCTATAAAAAACAAAATCAGATAAAAATTTTAGTATTTTTTTCTTTTCTATTCTTATACTTTCGTTGAACATGTAAAAGGATTGATTCGATAACACGACGTCGACGAACAGGTGCTGCTGCTGGTGGTGGAACAAATCTATAAATTTTCAATAACTATTATATAAAAGAAAACAAAAGTATACATATAGAACTTACGAAGCATATCGAACACTACATGCACTATTTTGTCGACTTCGACGTGGTGCAAATGGTGGTGGAACTAAACCATTAAATTCTGAACGTGAACCGTAATCAACGACATCTTCTGGAATATGTTCTTCTTTTGAAATTGTTGGTAATGGTAGTTTATTTTGATTTGAAAGTTGTTCTAAATCTAAACATAAAAGAATTATTTTGTTTTGTTTCTTTCTTTAAATTTTATCAAACCAGAAAATTGTTGATCTAATGGTTTAATTCTAATTACCATTTGTTCATTATAGTTTGAAATTCGAATACGATTAAATAAAACATTTGAATATTCTACAGGATATCTTTGCCAACATCCAGTTGTAATATCATAACGATAAATACAATTATAACCAATAACATTTCCTTGTTTATCTTCTCGATTTTCTCCGATAATAACCGTTCTCTGTTCAGAATTTTCTTGAGGTTTATCATAATACAAAATAAGTGAATCCGTTTTGTTGCTTGATTATTAATCCTTCCATCGTTCGGTTGAAAAACGGAGAAATGGAATGCATCATTGTCGGCAATGAAAATATACATTTGATAAATGATTATGGAAGAAGAAAAAACACAGTTCTATGTCGTTTGTTTAATAATCATCTAGTATCGATCGTTAAATACCCGTTATTTAAAGTAACAACAAGGGTGTGGGTGTGGGTGTGGATATGACATAAAAATAATACTCAACCATACCTACACCCACCCTAATCGATGTTATTACAAGTCTTGATATAAAATAGCACAATGAATTTATAATAATTATAAATTAATCCAAAGAAAAAAATGTAGCTCGATTTTTCGAATGAAGCATCTTTAGAGTAAATGAGACTATTCCCAAACGTAAATTTAGTTTCTGTTACTATTAAGCGTTAGTATAAATCATGGATAAAATGTGATTAAATATGAATTTCTTATTGATTTCTTTGATTAAAAAAATCTCTTCTGTTTGGAATATTCAGATTTATCAAAAACATTTTATTCTTGCTGAAGTCATTTCAATATTCTGGAACGTATCTTCATGAGTAATGATATTTCCACCCAAATTCGACATTTCAAGTTTCTTTATAAAAAAAAGTTGAAACCAAGAAGAAAAGCATCTTGAGGGTGTGGGTGTGTATTTTTCTTCTTCTTCTTCGACACCTATGTCCTCATTCATCCACACCCACACTCAAACTCGCACCCCCAAAATATATATTATTGAATGTTTATTTTAGCTGAAAATTTATTTTGTTTAAATATATGGAAAAAGTTTATTCGTCTGTAGTTATTTCTTAAAGATTATTGATTATGCTATGGCTACAGCAAAATATTGTTGCCTGGCCTTTGCTTGTATCCAAAATTGTTGTACAAAACCCAAAAAATATAGATAAGGACACAGAATTACAATAAAAACTGCGACATAGTTGTGCGATCGAATCCAAATGATATAACAGACAATAAATAAAATACAACAAATAAGAAACCAAATTGGCCAAATAATTTTCGCATATTGTGGCGCATATGATCGACGTATATAGAGATAGAATATTATAATAGTATGAAGTAGACAACATAATAAAATAGAGTCAAATATTCCATAGTTACATATTTGATATTTGTCATAACTATAACTATTTCGCATCATACGTATAAGCTGAAATAGAAAAGGTATAAGAATAGAAAGATGAATGATTTACAGAACACTTCGATTAATTATCAATTGAGTTTTTAATAGAAATTGAAATCGACCGATGATTATTGCCAATACTTGAAGTAACAGAAAAATTGCGACAAAAAAATACATATGACTTGAACATACATGTTCAACCAAGAGTTCAAACAATGCTTTTTTTGACATTGAATGATTGTCAATCAAACGATTTGTGAACAAAGAAATTATCAAAGTAATAATTAGTGTAAATGGTAACACAGTTAACGACCAAAACCAAATCGATGTTGCAGTTATTGCCATTTCTATAACTAAACAGACAACAGAATTTCAAATGCATTATAATGTATTCAGGAGATACAGTATTTAAAACAAAAAGCTTTGTTTTTATGATATTTGATCGTTTTATGAAGTAATGAAAATGTCTGTGTATAATGGTATCACATTGTTGTTCTCTTCTTATCGTTTTATATGACAATCGAGAATTATTTTCTTGACTTTATTCAACATCATATTTCAAATAGAAAAAGTCTTTTTCATAAAAGTAGTTGATTAGGCGCATTCATTTACATCTTCTAAACTTATTTCTTACATGTCTGATAATTCAGCATGAAAATCCTTGTCATAATTCTTATCAACCAAATTAAAATTTATCAATATAATAAGATTATTTTTATATAGAACATGATCGTGAATTATAAGATGAAAATGCCACATTTAAATGGACAAATATACTCTAACTTACTTTTAAAAATTACCCTTTTACTCATAATAAAAGAATAATTCCATTCATTTTTAATATCACATTTATTCTTATCCACACCTGGGGAATCGTAACAGTTCTAGAGGATTTTTTAAGATTCTTTATGAACATGGGAGAATCCAAGAAACAAGGAACTGCTCTTTTCCCCTTTCAAAATGCTCATACACAAGTTTCACTTACAACTGCTGAAGACGATAAACTGCTTTAATCAAAAGGTTTTAATTATTTTAAATAGAAAACAAACTCATCATATAGCAAATGAAAAATATAGTTTAGCATAAATTTTTATCAAAATAAATATGGAAGATAAAATGATGGTTATAAAGTATTGATATAATAGATATCAACAAACTCAAAAATAAGGGTGTGTATGAGATGATGACAGTACGAGCACCCACACCCTAAAATCCAGACTTTCATACTGCGAAGTACGATGAAAGTATGGAAAAAGAGAAATTTCGCTTTTTCTCCTTTGTTACCAAAAATAATATTATTACGTTATGATTGCGTAATTCTTGCCACGTATGCAAAAGAAAAAAACCACATCGCATTTTTCTTACTCATATGTTACTATTAAATATTACCAAATTTGTAGCAACGATACTTATCGAAAAAAATGAACTCATCAACTAAAAACGTGGTAAATAAACCACCATCAGTACTTATAACTGGATCTTCTGGATCTGGTATGTATGTAGCTTGTTGTTCATAATTTATACATAAACTTTTTTTTATTAAGGTAAAAGAACAATTGTTCACATCACAAAACATGGTAAAATTCCTGACGGATTTCCAACAATCGGTGTCGATTTTGAAAAATTAACTATTAATGAAACTCCTCTTATGATTTGGAGTATCGGTGGACGTTCAGGATATCGTCCTTTATTGACACACTATTATAGAAGAATGCTAGGATTTATTTTTGTTGTTGATTCAAATGATCATGAAGGAGTTGATGAAGCACGTAAAAAGCTTCATGAAATAATTGATAATGATAGTTTTGAAGAAAAACCTATTCTTATATTTGCCAATAAACAAGATTTACCAAATGCAATGAATAATGATCAACTTCAAAATAAACTTCATTTAGATAAACTCAATAAAAATATCAAATGGTATTTGCAAGCAACATCTGCTATTGAAAACCAAGGTCTTGATGAAGGTTTCGAATGGTTAATGAATTCTATTCAAGATAAAAATGATAAAATAAATCCTATCATAGAAACATTTAATGATACAATTATCATGAAAAATCATTTCATTTCTTTATTTAATGTAACTGAATTTACAACATTTATATCGAAAATCATCTCTTCGTCATTCACTTTTCTAGAAAATGTAATTAAATATTAATATTCAACAAACTTTCTTTCTAAAATAAAATATGATTGGCTCTTTTGTTCTTTATAAAGAAAGAAGAATAGACGAAACACTTCACATCAAAAGCAAAAAAATCACGAGTTTAATGAGATATGATTCATATAGTCCATATTATACTCATTGACTTATATGTGAAGACAAAAAAAAGATGATTAAAAGACGGGGATGTGTGTGATAGAGAGACGATCAGGTTATTCCCGACAACATCAGAAACAGAATCCTTGAAAATCATTCTTTAAATTATTTAAATTTGTTTCTTTGAAAAAAAACAATTCCCAATTTTTGTAACAATGTCTTTCCTTGGATTAGTTTAGTTTGTTGATGAAAAATATCAAAAGCTTCCATTTGATGTACATCCCTTTATTCAAAAATAATATATTTCAAAACCTTTTTTCTTCTTTATGTTGATTAAAAACCATCTGTCATCAACATTGAAAAATCTTTCATCAATATATTCATTACATATGTAATATCATTTGTCTAACAAAATAATATTTATTATTATTGTTGATTATATTTTTCTGCATTAATATATACCAAAAATTTTCTCACGCATTTCTATTTTTTCACAAAAAAAAAACAATAATCTTTTTTTTTATTCTCTCCATTAATGGCAAGGAAGTTGCTATTATATATAGATTTTTGTCGACAAATAGAGAAAGAAAAATAATTATCCATTTTTTTTTGCTTCATGACTTTGCAACACACAAAGAATTACATGAACATGTTCGATAAACAGTACATAATAAAGTTCTGTTAATGACGTCAGCAATAAAAAGAAAAAAAAATATTTCATGATTTTCTGTTCATCTGATATATAAATTAATAAAATGAAATTTTCTTTTATTGACTTGAATAAATTACTTAACATATGGTAAGTCGTTGCTTTCTTTCATGCTATTTGTCTTGTTACTAAAAAAAGATTCATTAAATCATTATAAAGTTAGAAAAAAATACATTTATTCTGCGTCGTTCAGCTAAGAATGAAGTTTCTAACACTACTAGTGTTACTCGCACCTTTTATTATAATTGTTGATGGCCAATATTCTGTATACTATTCTGATGATCGATATGAATCGAATGCAAAATTTGATTGCTTATATGCCTATTCAGCAGATACAACACTATTATCTACTGATGATTACAGTTTAATTCCTTATTGTCGACGACTTGATGGAACTGAAGAGGAAGAAAATTTTTCTACCATATCGTATGAGAATATTTTAAATAATATGACGTTTGCTGAATTGTATCGACAAGGTATAACAAGTATGGAATT